AGGGCCCTTCACTGTTAGCGCACCGTGTAGGCTGAAAGACAGGAAAAACAGGTCAAATCCCCTTCGTGGTCCAGTAGATTCGGTGCCACTTCACAAAAAAAAAACGCGGAATAAGTAAATTTCAATGGCCTTCTAATCCAAGTCAATCCAATTAAGGATTACGCAATTCAGTCTGATTCGTCATATGACGCAAACGCATCACTTACCCTCTTCAGGTCAGTTCTGGGGACATTTTAGCTGTCTATATACGTTTGTCCTTTTAATTTGACTGAATTCAGGTTGGCAGAAAAATAGATTTTCAGTGTTTTCTTGAAAAGACTAAACCCCAGGGCGCACATCCATATCCATGATCACTTACCCTCACTAGTTGATCAAATCTTCTGCATGACTATATGCATTAAATCAAACTTAAATACACAAAGCATGAATCAAATCTGATGGCACTTCGTTTAACTGTCACTAACTATTTAAAATCGTGTTTCTTTTGCACTGAAAATATATAAAAATAGCATATTATGAGGGTAAAGAAGTAGATATTTATAAAGAAACATAAGCTCTGACCAGAATTGTTTTTGTTTTTTTTGTGGTGACAATTGTTTGTGTTGTGGTGCTAAAAGTTGGACGATAAAATCAAATAAGTAAATCATTTAAAAAGTAAGTACCAATAGTAACATTTCGATTAGTTATTGACACGTTTTGGGGAAGGAAAAGTACTGGGTTGAGCACCTCCTAGTGGTAAAGTGAATGGAAATGATGGCCAAAGCTTTTGATCTCCAGTTTATAACATCAAAAATATCTATTAACACTTCACAAATAAGCTACTATAAGGCAGTAAGTGTAATCAGGAACTTATTATCATTGTCAAATGAGGAAATAAATACGATGATAAATCCATAAATAATAATGCAGTGTTCCATAAGTCTGATAACACTTCTCCATTTTTTCATGTGCGTCATATTTCCATCAATTTTAGTGTTAGGCGGCTTTAAAACAACTCATTAAGCAATGCATGTCACATTAGTCCCAATGTTTGCTTAGCAGAGGGTGCACGGATGGAAGATGGGTTCTATCTATCAATGTGTGTGACCCCTGACCTCCCACAAGGTCCTCGCTCAGCCAATATCTGCTGTTATAGGGAGCATAGGCCAGCAAATAGTCCGGGCCGAGCAGAGGCCTCTGTCACGGGGAGCAGGAAATATGGCCTATCGCCTGTTTTCCTCTCGCCCCGTTTTGTTTTGCAAGTGTGCTGTGACTACCGTCCCACCGTGCCCCAGCATCAGACAAGCTCTGTCTCTGTCTCCCAGATATATTTATACAATAAATAAAGGGGACGGGCTAAGATCAGACCGCTGTTTTGACTCTGTCATTTGTATTTTGCTCATTTCGTGCCCCCACACACACCCGCGCCGGCGGCCATTTTCTGCTGGGGTGGCAGGATTTTGGCGGATAGCGGGAGATAATCGCTCTGGGTGAAAGCTACAGAGGGATAACTTTCCGTGTTCTCGTTCAGGATCTAAAGATAATACGTCAGATTTCAGATTGAGAGCTTGTCGATCATTGGTCGAGCTCATCTTGTTGGAATTATAGAGTTCTTTTAATGTCGCAGTTGGAGTTCTTAAAAACTAAAAACAGTCGCCTAAATTAGGGACTAAAGACTTTTAAGAAAATTATGCATTTTAAAAAGGATGATAAAATTGCTTTCATTCAGAGAAGAATTAAAAGAATGGTTTGCCTCACATGGGACATTTTAAAATCACAATTTGAAATACTGAAATAAAGGCCATATGTGAATAAAACAAATAAAGAGCACTGCTGTTACCCAGGGATATTAAGCCTCTTTTATATCACGTGTTAATGATCTATATCTGGAGAATATAGTTCTGAAGAAACTTTGCTGTATTTTGGGGTTTGTTGGTTCGATCCCCAGATAATTCAGTCTGTATGTCAGAGTTGAGCTTTCCTTCAAACTGTGCATTCATGTGTGAATGGGAGGATGACAATAACATTTTAAAGCACCTCTTGACGGGGGAAGTGACTAGAAATGAATCCAAAAAAACAAAAAAGGGCCATTTTTCTTGAACTGTGAATCAATAATATAACCAATATTCATGTTTCAGGAATGTGGAGTTATATTACAAATAGAACATGGACACCTATAAGATACGCAATAGTTACTGCCATAGAGGAACAATAACTGTTCAAATTGAGCCAAATTTCACTATGGATTTTAGATTTGCTTTTACAAACACACCACAAAAAATATCATTTTCAATTCTAATTTTGAGGTAGCGGCCAAATTCTTGCTTAAAACCCCTCCAACTAAGACAATCACACACGTAGCTTGTTTGTACCTCTCAACATGGCAATAACCAACAAAAAAGAACTTCCTTTACATGCATCAGCGTTAAAATACGACTCAGCTCAGGGTTCCCACATCAGAGTGGATGTCGTGTTCAAGTTTTTAAGTTTGAGACGTCAGAAAGCCCTTGTATGAAACAAGAGGGGGAGCGGATGTGGCGGTGGCCCTGCAAATAGATGTGTGCAACCTTCAACAAAAATGGAAAAGGAAAAAAAAACTGAATAAAACATAGTCATGATCTGGTTTGGGACTAACAGTAATCAGCTCACACATACAGTAACTCCAACAACCACAAGGTGTCGCATCATTTTAGAATGCAATTACTTTCTGTACTTATAGTTTCATGAACAAATAGAATATTATATATATATTTACATATATATTTGTGTATAATTCAGTGTTTTGAGGTAGAACCAGAGGAAAATATAGTCGTTTCCCCCCCCCCCGGATCCACATATCATGGTGTGAGTCTGTATCTATGAGGCTTTTGGTATGTGTTGTTGTCAAATTTCTAAACTTATTGTTCTTGAGATGTGTGATGATAACCTCTGTTAAAAGACTTTCTAATCTCAAGCATATTCTCAATTTTCAGGGCAATTTGGAACACAAAATGACTCACTAAATGAGAGTTTATAAGAGGCCTTTGAGGTAAACTTATTTTGCATGTGGTTTTAAGTTCAATGCTTTTGAACACACACTGAGCCAGCTAAAGTTCCTATGTGAGTATTTTCAGTATATCTATTGAAAGAATGAGAAGGATTTTTAAAATTATTATTTGTTGCTGTATTTAACTATTTAAAATGCTGTCCAGAGCCACCCCCCGCTCAAGGCTGTCTTCATAGAATGTGGGATTTAAAACCTGTTCTGCACGCAGAGAAAACAAAGTCCCTGACATTCCAAACCCCGCGTATATCTGCACTGTGTCCTACACTAAATTATTCCAGCCGCACAATAACCTGAGCTCTTTGCTAATGATGACATTGATGCTTTTTTTCCTTTAAATAAAAACTTTTCAGTGTGAATAAGACAGTTGTGTATACATTTTATCGTGAAAGAATAAATCTGAAAACCGACTTTCAAGCAGGCCTGTTCATTTGAAAGCGATATTATCGTCTTTTCTTTACTTTTCTGTTTCTGCTAAACACGGATAACAATCATCTTTTGCCAGGTGGATTGTCTCTGTTATGGTCATCTAACTGGGCATAGATTCCCATGACCAATAGCTGTTGAACTAATATCATGATGCATGACTTTTTGGTTTTAATTTTTGTTAATTTTTCATTGCTTTGTCTGTTATTTTGAACCGGTTTAAAAGTTTTACTTCCTGTCCAAATGACACTTGGGACATTTAACTGATAACCTCACCTAGCTTCTGTTTTTTGGGTTGGTCATGGTCATATAATTTGGTCCGGCGCCCTTTTACATCCTCTGAGCCATTTCCCTTGTTGAT